CCCCAGAGCAGTCTCAGCCACTTGGAGCTGGCAGGGGCTGCCTGGAATCCACAAGTGAGGAGACACTAGGGCCCCCCCAAGAACTCCACTCCCCACCCCCCAGGGAGCTCTGAAGAAAGCCCTGGGCACTTGTGGGGGGGTGGGTTCTTCAGAATCAACCCTTCTCCCCCCGCTGCTCCCCGCGCCTCAGCTACTAACCTTGCTTCTGCTTCATGGCGGTGGCCAGAGTGCAAGGTACAGGCTGAAGTGGCAGGGAAGCTGGTTCCCCGCCTCCTTTAAGAATGCGGAGGTTTAATGTTTAAACAAGGCCAAGACTCCCTTGCACCCATGGAACTCGGTGCCCCTCTGCCGAGCCCCTCCCAGGTCTCACCTCGGCCAGCCCAGCAGCCGCGGGACCTGGGAGTGAACGGACCTGGCCAGGGTCACGCAGCGAGGCAGTGGCACAGCCAGGGAAGGGACCCAAGAGTTCAGGCTCCCCCCCGCCTCGGGAGAGAAAAAGAAACCAGGAATCCAGGCTGCCAAGTTCAGGCTCGCCTGCCCGCCCGTCTCTGTGGCCCTCCAATCCCCACCCTCCGCTGAGGCTGCTCGATGGTCCCTGCTCCCGAGGATCAGCCCAGGGACCCCCAGACACAGGCCACCAGAGGAACCACTCTAATTAGTGGCCCAGGCTGGCGTGGGGAGGGAGCCCGGGAGAGGGACGATTCTGTTGTCCGTCCCTCCGCCCTGCAATCCCCGGCCCTTCCCTCCTCCCTCGACTGCATCCAGACTGTGCCCCCATGTGCATGGCACATCCCAGCCCCTGCTGTCCTCAAAAAGCCCCCCACCCCGCCCGTCATGACGTCACAGTAGGGGTGGGAGCAGGTAGCGCTCCCCACATGAGCGGGGGGAGATGCAGCATGGGCTCCAGCCCCCAGCACCTTTGGGAAGGCCACGACCCCGCAGGAACAGATCAGCGTGGGAACCGCTCGTGTTGGTGGAAACAAAGTGGTTTAATTTCATGGCTACACACAACAGTGTCCAATACCGTGAGCAACCTCCAGAGCTGCTCCCCCCGTCAGGCCTCACGTGGCCCTGACCGCAGCCCAGAGCGAGGGTGCAAAATACACACACACACCGACTCAGCTAGGTGTAAGCCCCCCACCGCCAACACACACACACACACGCACGCGCCTCCTCCCCGCAGCACTTCCATCTGCTTTCCTTCCTTGTCCGCTGCCTTCGCCTGCTTCATCACCCTCCCAGACTCCCTGCTCCCGCACCCCACGGTCTCGGATTTTGCCACCCCAACTCGCAGGAGGAGCTCCCAGGGCCCGATTCCCCTGCGCCATCAGCGTCAAATGCTCCCTGATCAGAATGGGCGCGCTCGGAAGCCCCCGGGCCTCGAGGAAATGACACCGTACGGTCTAGGAGCCTCATGCCCTCGGCTGCTCACTGGCTCTCAGCCCTTTGGTGCCCTGCCTCCGTACAAACCTGCCCCGTGCTCGGCCTGACCGGCGACCCTGCCATTCTCAGCCCTAGAGAGTTCAGACTGCAGCCCCCTAAGCCTTGCAACCAGCATGGCTCGCTGGGGGCAGAGCCAGGGACCCCCAGCTATGCCAACGGCTGCTTGCTGTCTGGGAACAGCAGGGCGGCTCCCTGCCGGAGGCACGGGGCAGCTCGTGGCGATGCTGCTTCGCGGCAGTTCTACCTGGGCACGGCGGAGACCGCACGCGAGAGGGCAGGACGCAGAGCCTCGGGGCGCTCCAGGAAGAGGGGCCAGGAACTGCTTGGGAAGCAGCCCAGTGAATCCTAGCACGGGGTGTGTCCCGGAGATCCGTGCAGGCGGGATCCAAGCGAGAGCGCCATGGGGCCGTCTGAAGCCGGGGCCAGTGCTGTGCAAGCTTCCCCCTCGCCCTCCCAGCAGCCGCTCTGACCACATACCTCCAGAGGCAGCCTGCTTTTTTTCCCGGCCTCAGTCAGCT